AAAAAAGGTTACTTTTATTAATTCTAATGAAAAGGGATTATCTAAACTCCCATTTGGTTGCACATGGTGTGATCACATTTGAAAAGCAACCATCTGCTGTAACTCTCACTTATATGAATCAACTAGGATAGGATAGGATAGGGGTGGTGTCGCAGTTGAAAAGATGTATGCAGAAATTTGGAGCATTTTGGATAGCATACTGTCTGTGTGTATGTGTGGTGTGGCATGGCAATTCCCTTTCTGAGCTCGGACTCCATGCATCGGCATGAAACAAACACTCCTCAGATGCTGCTTGTGTGTATAAGTAAGTTTCTGAAATTAAGTAACTAGATATATATAGTAAGTATAAGTAAGCAGTAAAACTTGTATTATTAATTAATTCAAGCAAATTAGAGCAAAGTGCAAGCTAGCGTGCCTAGCTAGTATTACTATCTCAATTATAATTAAGGACCCTTCAATTCATTGATAATTAAACAATGGATGTAAAGTGGGTTTGGGTAAGAGAGGTAGGTTGTGGATCATATCATTTGAAGTTGGCTGAAATTGGATGCACGCACGTGGCTTAGATAATTGAATTCCTCATTCTTCCCACTTACAAGCCCCCATTATCTCTCTATGAGTATGTATGTCCCTACCAGTACCAGTACCAGACCTCCTCCCATTCTCCCATGCATATATATATATATAGCAGATAGATCCTTCTTTTTTTTTAAACCATCTGGCTTCAAAAGGGATAGCTTTCAACATCTTTTTCTTGTAATCATCTCTTCAAAATTAATATATATATATATATATACACACATAACTTCAATATGTATCTTTTAGTCCTTCCCATTCCTTCATCTCAACATCTTCTCTAGGTTCAAATATGTGTTATAATAATAATACCTTCTTTTACTGTACGTACGAATTTGCTTAATTATAAAAAATTAAAAACATTAAGATTTGTTCATCACATCACATCACATCACATCACATCACATACAAGGAAAGAAAATAATAAAAGGAATGAAGACTAGTAAAAGGGTGGATGGATGCATCGTATAGTTTTATTTGGGCTAATGAGGCCAATGATTACAGGAGGATCATATGGATTCTATCTAATCTGACTGAAATCATGATTGGAATACATATATTAAGCAATCATATACAAGGTGTTGTAATCACTACATGCCTATGCCTTGAGTATACTAAGTACATAACCAGTGAACTCATATGGGTCTTAATCAGTACTGACAACAATCCATCATTAGTTAGTGACCCAAGATTATGACCGGTATTGAAAAGATTCCATAACTTATCTCCAAATTTTATAATTTAAAATTAGAATTTACAATTCACCCTCTCCAGAGCTGAATTTTTAACTGCTAGTGTTTCTAACCATAGCCCCATGGTGGTTAGGATTGGTAGTGAAAGCAAGAAAAGGAGATGTCCGTTTAAACTTTTCAACTTCATTGCTAGTAGGAGGGATTTTTGACAAACAGTTTGTAAGATATGGGAACAACTAGTAAAAGGTTCTATGCAATTCCAAGTGACCACCAAATTGAAACTCTTGAAGCATGAGTTCAAAAAGATGAACAAGAACCAAATTGAAGATGCTACCCTGAAGGCTAAGGCTGCCAAAGATGAGCTGGATCAAGTACAGAGGCAACTTGATCAACAACCTCTGAACCCTATTCTTGGATCTAAGAAGAAAGACTTGCTACAAAACTAGGTTACTACAGCCAGAGTTGAGGAAGAGTTCTTAAGGCAGAAAGCAAGAATCCGATGGCTTAATGAAGGTGACAAAAATACTGGGTTCTTTTTCAAGACTGTGGTTACAAGAAGGAATAAAAACAAGATATTATCTATCACTTAGCAGGATGCATCTGTGATTGATGACCCTGATCAAGTAAAACAGATGGCAGTGGACCATAGTAATGGAAGCTCACTAGGAGAGATCAATAGCACCATTATTGATTGGGTTCCTAAAATTCCAATCCTATAAAGCTAGGGGATTACAGGCCCATATATTGCTGCAACACCTTGTATAAGGTCATTTCCAAGATTATAGCAAACGGAATTAAGATTGTCTTGCTTGATATCATAAGCATCAACCAAGCTGCTTTTGTTCCAGGAAGAAGAATTGGGGATAATGTAATGCTAGCACAGGAGCTTATGAGAGATTATCATAAGGATAGGGGTTCCCCTAAATGTGCCATCAAGGTGGACCTCATGAAGGTATATGACACATTAGATTGGGAGTTTCTAATTAATGTACTAAGGCAACACAACTTTCCTGAAGTAATGCTTAATTGGATCACCTCCTATATGTCTACTCCTAAGTTCTCCATTTCAATCAACAGGGAACTTACGGGATTATTTTCGAGTTGTAGAGGATTAAGGCAGGGGGATACCATGTCTCCCTATCTTTTTGTAATTGCTATGGAAACTTTAACTCAAATTATAAAGATTGAATTGGCTGCTGCAACTAGATTTAAATATCACCAGAGGTGCAAGAAATAAGGCATTATACAACTTGGCTTTGCAAATGACTGGCTACTTTTCTGCCATGGTAATTTACTCTCCGTGTCTGTTCTTGGGATAGCTATGGAGAGGTTCTTGGATCTTTCTGGTATAATGGACACTGCTGAGAAGAGTCACATCTTTATGGCTAGGATTCAAGATGAGGTTAAAAGTCAAATTAAGCAATGCTTGGGGTTTGTTGAAGGAACGCTACCTATAAGGTACCTTGGAGTGCCTCTACTGTGCTACTTTAATTTGATAAAATTGAGGCTATGATTAAGAGTAGGATTAATAAGTCCCTATCTATTAAGGGGAGGTTGCAATTGGTTCAAGCAGTCTTATACGACATACAAAGTTACTAGCTTTGTCATCTAGTCATTCTTAAAGGAGTATTGAAGAGGATTGAACAGCTTATCAGGTTTTTTTTTGTGGACTGGTACACATGACATAACTAAGGGGAGCAAAGTTGCCTAGGAGCATGTTATTAAGACTAAAGCACAAGGTGGCCTTGGACCAAAGGATTTGCACAGTTGGAATAAGACCTTAATGATTAGATATATATGGTACATGTTCAAGGATGGAATTAACCTTTGGGCTAAATGAGTGAAATCTGTTTATGTAAAAGGTAGAAGTATCTGGGAGCTTAAAACCCCTCAAGGTTCCTCTTGGAATTGGAAAAAGATTTTGAAGTTAAGACCTCTTGTTAGACCTTTAATCAAGCACATGATTGGGGATGGGAGATCAACTAAGTTGTGGCATGATAATTGGCACCCTCAAGGACCCTTGCTAGTGAAGTGGTCTCATAGAATTATTGAAGAATCTTCATTACCAGCTACATCTATGGTTGAGAGCATCATTGATGGTGATAGTTGGAACTGGCCTGACCATACCTCATCTAATTTGCATGAAATATGTAGCACAATGCCTAACTATACCCCAAATGTCCTACATTCTGATCAAGTCAAATGGTTGTCTAGTGTTAATGGAATTTACACAGCTCAATCAATTTGGATTGTGCCACAATTCCCCAAGGTACACTGGTATAGGTTTGTTTGGTATGGACAAGCTATATATCCCCAGGATAAGTAGCTATTCTTGAAATGTTTAAATACTAAGGATCGGGTGACAGCTTATATGCAACATGTGGAGTGTATCTACTTGTTTGTAGAAGTGAGGAAGAAAGCCACAAGAATTTGTTTTTTGACGGCCTTGTTGCATCTGGGATATGGAGAGCGGTGCTGCAAAAGAGTGGGGAGCCTTGGCAGTCTCTCATTCTTAATGCTTCTAGAGAGTGGAAAGAGAAGACATTGAAGATGAAAATTTTGAAGCTGAGCCTTGCAGCTACTATTTATACCCTTTGGAGGGAGAGAAATGCAAGGATTTTTAAAAATGTGGCCAAGGATTTAGCAAATATTCTAAAAGGGATCAGTAATATGGTGAGGAGTAGATTGATTACTCTAAAGGTTAAAGAGTTTGCCCAAAATTATGTCATACTTCAAATGTGGCATCTTTGCTCTCTTAGCTGAGTTGTTGATGTTTGGAAGTTACCTTTCTAGTACATTGTATGAGCTCAATTTGTAGTAGCACTAGCCAAGCAACCAATGCTCCTTCTAGATTGACTCTTTTGCTATTTTTTTTAGCACCCTGCTTGGTGCTGAAATTTTTGTAACAGTCTTTGGCTTGTAAATTTACATATCATATCAATATATTGTTTACTTACCGAAAAAAAAAAAATTATGTATTTATATTTCAACAACCACCACCACCACCACCAATTTACATGGAGATGGTAAACAAAGCATGAATGAGCTAATTCAAAACCAATGTAACTGCTATATCAAGTAATTAGCTAGATTTTAGGCCTAGCAAGTGAAAATATTTTTAATAATTAGGGTGATAGCGAGATTCGAATATAGGACTTCATATTCTAATATCATGTTAAACAATAACGAGCTAATTCAAAACCTGTGTAACCCCTATATCAAGTAATTAGCTAGTGCCTTGTAGCGAGAGGCTAATATATCATTCAAATGCAGGGATGGAAGATTAATTGCAATTATAACATCGGACCCACTGACCCATTATGACGCTAATGATACTTGTAGATAGTCAAATGAGTTTTGGCTCAGTACCAACTACACATTGATGATGGAGTGTCAATAATAAATCTACAATAAAATCAACAAATATTAATAATTAAACAAAACACACTCTTTGTTATCAATTCGGAGATTGAGGGGTGCGTACGAGTGCCATCTCATTTTCTCAAAGGAAACACCTTAAAGTGAGGTCTAAATAGAATTGCTCTTTCCCTAAAGTAAGACGATGTAATCTTTGTTAAGCAGCTTATTTAAACAGCCACAATGGAACGGACAGAAGACAAAAGGAACGATTGATCACTCGAGAGCATAGAGGAAGTCTCTCTCTCTCTCTCTCTCACAAAAATCTAACTCTGTGTTTCCAACATCTCCAACCTCAACAACACACTGCGCTTAATGGATTTCATGAACAACTCATCAAAAGCAAACTCACCATCTCCATCGAAGAGCAAAAGAAAGAATCCGCAACAAAATCAGCAAGAATCAACAGTAAGGTTTCTAGGTGTACGAAGAAGGCCATGGGGCAGATATGCCTCAGAAATAAGAGACCCTTCCACCAAAGAGAGGCATTGGCTGGGCACTTTTGACACTGCAGAGGAGGCGGCCTTGGCCTACGACAGAGCTGCCCGCTCCATGCGCGGCTCCCGTGCTCGCACCAACTTTGTGTACTCCGACATGCCACCAGGTTCCTCTGTCACTTCTATCCTCTCGCCTGATGATCAATCACATTCACAACACGACCTCTCCGTCCTTTTCCCTAATGCACCTAAAAACGATTCCTCAGAACAATTATTTTTCAGCCGTGATAGTACTGTCGATGTGTGTCAGTTTTCTGGTGGGCTGCCTGTGGCCGGGGACGCCTGGATTCATAATAATAATGAGACTGTCTCTCTGTCTCTGTCTCAACTTGAGCAGGTTACGGTTGGTGCTATGCATGGTGGTGGTTATGGTGGGTTCAAACAGTTTAATGCAAACGATATTGAACTGCCACCGTTACCACCAGATATTACGAGCTCTTTTGGCTCCACTAGTGTTCTTCCACTTCCACCTCAATCAGTTTCTGATCATGTTATGGGTCACAGTGTTTGGAACGACATAAGTTTTATAGGATTGTCGGAACAGATGACTAGTAGTGAACAGTATAACATTGAAGGGACAGGGGGGGTGGAATTGGATATAGGATTCGGCATGGCCAGCTGCTGCGAGCAGATGAATTTAAGTAGTGAAACCGAATGTATGGGATTCATCCCATTTCCATTTTCGGGGTTGGGGATGATGCCTCCTCCAACTCCCACAGCTTCCAGAACTCTCTCTTCATCAGCTTCAGAAGAATTTGATCTTCGAGGTGGTGGTTGTTCGTCATCACCATCATCATCCACCTATTTCTTCCCATAATTAGTTTCTTTAATTCTGATTAGTTCTCTTGCATTGCATTGCATTGTTTGCTTTTGGTCTTTTGGCGGGGCGACTATTATAGTGGTTGATGTTGATGATGACTACGATTTACATGCATGTTTGTTTGTTTGGCTGTGTATGAATTTCAGTAGTACTACTGGTTTAATGTAATGTTATGAATCAATCAACTTTTCGGTTGATCTTTCTTTACATGTGTATCCATGATCACTTACATTGCAAGAATATCTAATCTCAAGTTCTCTTAACTTATTTCTTTTGAAAACCTACACACCAATACATCTATATACAAAAAAAAAATATATATATATATATATATATGTGCAATAGACGATCATAGATTTTCTGATTATTGAAAAAAATCCAAATACGTTCTCTCAATCAAATAATATCATACCATATCAAAATACATTTCGCCCCTCAAATTACACTAAATTTGAGTATGCGCCTTCCAAAATTGAGTTTTATCGTCCTTGTATGGGACAACAACAAAGTACAAAACCACTTAACGAAAGACCCTGATGAACAGTGGCATGTAATTACACAAAATCACCTCAATGAATTGTCTTTAACATCTGCAATACCACATTCTGTCCAAGCAAACATCCAATATCTAATAGATCGAAACATCAGCTCAGGATTGTGTTGTGCATGGTTGCAAAAAAGAAAAATGGAACATCAAACTTTAGATATCGATGATGGACACTAGCCTCAGCAAAAAGAAATTTTATTTATCTTGGACAGATAGAGCCTACATCACTTGCCAGGATCAGGACTTGAATATACATGACACTTTAGGGATAGTGGCGGGCATTCTAGAAAACCTCAACACTAAAACAGAACCCGACCAAAAAAAATAAAAACACAACCCGTGTCATGGAGTGCAGATTAAATTTGAACAGAAAAAACTAAATTTTACATACAAGCAAAGTAGCAAAAGTAAAATTACGAGCTGGGTTTCTCTGATTTCAAGGGTGCATTCGAGGAGGATGCACAGCTTCCATTTTGAAGTTGAAGACTCTTGGCCACCAGAGAATCGCTGACCAAGCCAACATCAACATCATCAAAATTGAGTGTGCCTCGGAGCTTCCGAGTACTGAAAATGGAAGAAATAGGGCAAGGGGATGAATATAAAACAGGATAGATTTCTACTAAACAAGGTTTTTAACAACAAACAAACCATGCGGATAGAAAAAAAAACAAATGTATATACCCATTCAAACGGTTATTTATGGCTGTCAAGTCTTTCGAAGGGCTCTGGTATGCGTGAGTGCTCTCTCCAACACATGCATAATAACTCTTACAGGTATGTGAAATTAAAGCATCCATCTGCAAACATAAACAAAAACCAAGTTCTAACACATGAAACCAAACTGGTCCATTAGTGCACAAATGTATTAGAGCATTCACATCCTAAACGAATGATGTCTACGCTGATGTTCTGTTTTGTAATGAGATAAAGCTGCCACCAAATTTGTAATTATGACTCACAGAGCAAAAAATCACATTTGACCAAAGCATTGTAATTTAAAGACAATGAATTTCATCAAGGTAGAAATAATGGTTCAACATGCAAACCTTTCTCACAATGTAAAACCAAATTGTGCTTTTCTTGATAACATAATCTGGAGGTACCAGTATGGTTTCACCATAACATAATTACTGTATCCATAAGATCCAGCTAGGCTCCTTTTTAGGCAAGCTCCATTATCTAATAATATGGGTAATCAAAATAACAGGAAAGGAGCAAAAAATAAATGCATAAAGAAGCATTTACAAATACACTGAAAAATAAGGGCAAACAAAAGTGTACTTAGCCAATTAGGCTTACGATGTGTGTATGTGCATAACACATGAATTGCAGTCAAACATCTTTTCTTTGGGTTGAACCATTAATTAATTGAGAACCAAGGGGTACGGTAGCTACCTCAATAATTACTCAAGCAAACCTCAAGACTTACCCATTCTCCATACCCCCACCAAAAAAAAAGTGTTTTGAGTGGGCGGGCGGGCATGCATACAGACGTGAATTGCAGGGATAAATATGTCCATAACCTCTACCCCACCCCCACCCAAAAAAAAAAATGAGAAAATGAATAAAAAATAAAGAGATAACCCCTACAACCTTCGTTATATAAAGAAAATTAGTATGGGAAAAGAACCAGAGGCAACAGTTAATAGGACTTCAAGCGTGGTTTTAAAAAATGGAAATGGGTGTTCTAACCGTAACAATAACAGTGTAACAGAAAAACGATGTAACGATCACTAGGCATTCACATCTCCCTAAAAATTCAATATAAGCATGATTTATGTCACGAATCAAACAAACATAAATTCTTTATGATATAAAATGCACTTTGTTATATCATACACATATTCTTGTATCTTGAATTGTTTTACTAGTCTAAATTATGTATTAAAAAGGAATATTAAATCCAAACACCAAACAAAATTTAAACACATGTATTTCAACAGAAATCTTGGGACATGTGGACTAGCAACAACTTAGCTTCTTCAAAATAGTTTAGATATTATGGCTAGTAACTATCCCTCTTTAACATGTTCTAGAGTGTTATTTTTCCCACACCAATCTCCCACGTGGATAACTCTGATGGGCTAAAAGAGAATCAAGTAAATATATTTGGTGATTGACATGGGTTGATGAAAAGCAACCAATCATAGGCACTCCTAATTGAATTTTGTGCTTGTTCAAAAAAAAAAAATTGAATTTTGTTTAAAGCAAATCACACCCAATCTTCCCCCACTTCTCCTTCTTCCTCGTACCCATCAGTTACAGAAATTCAAATAACCATCTCTGCTACTTCAATCCTACAGTGCAGTAAAGATATTTTTGCGACGAGACTTTAAAAATTCAGCATTCTTTTAGAAGATGATGATGAACATACAAAGAGATGAGAGTTTACAATTTTTTTACAAAATTTAAAATAACCTTCTCTGTTCAGGTATGCTTCGTTACATATCTACAACCCTAATTGTCCCTTAATTCCTTCTTCTACTACTTTTACACCAAATTTGATATTTGGACACTATTTTTCTTCTACATCTTTTTTTTTAAAAAAAAAATCAAAAAAATGAAGTTGGAGGAATAATTAGATACAGTGGTGGAATATTTCAGCATCGCCATGCCACCACAACTGCCATCTTAGGCGTGAAAAGATTTCTCACTGTTAAATTGGGTTGTAACGGTATTGAAAACCACCAAAATACCTTGTAACGGCATTCATGCCCCATAATAACCGATTTTAAAACCATGATTTCAAGGGCAAAGTCTCCACTAATTACAACATCAAGTCCAACCTCAAATTCACTGCAAGAGCTCTTGATATATACAAATATATACACACACACACACACCCATAAATTGTTCCCTCCATCTCATTGTTCATCAGTTGATGTATCTATAGAATATTAGGTTATTTAAATAAAATGTATTATTGTAATTGATATCTTATTATGAGTTAATATAAATATGGATGATGAGAGGAAAGATTAGTTAACTCTCATTCTCCTAAACCATAATACTCTAATCTCTTTCTTCTTCTTTCTTTCCTCCTGCCTCATTTCCATTCTAAATCCTAAAACTAAACTGAGATTTTAACTTGGCGTCAAAACGATCTATCAAAAATAGGAAAGACAGTGGACCGAAGCGAGGGAGGGCAGGCAGTGTAATCTCCATCCTTGTACCCGCTTAAAAAAACTCTGTCTATCCCCGATCCACCCCTATTAACAGGTATAGCTTTCATCTCTATCCCCGTCTGCGAGTAAATTTGATAGATCACCTCCGCCCCCAATCCCGTCCACCTTACCCACCCAAGTCCAAGCCCAAGCCAACATAATCTAAAATTCTAAATAAATCTAACATTCTAAATAATCCAACATAATTATAAAATATCATAACATAATTAAAAATTTGTCATTTACATCATTATATAATTAAAACCTCGTCTACAAAATAATCCAATATAATATAATTAAAAATTTGTCTGCCTTGTAAATCCAACACAATATTATCCAACAAAACATAATCCAACATAAAAAAATATAAAAACACAAAAAAATCATTCAATAATATGTAAATTTATAATCACAACAACCTGTATATATATATAAAACAATAATAATAACGGATAAAACGAGGCAAGGGTAAGTGTCAATCTATCCCTACCTTCATCCCCGCACGGGTTTATACAGGTATCTCCGTATACGTCCACCGTTTGATACGTATGGTTCATCCCTGGTTCAAACGAAACGGATTTGGACGAATACCCATGTTTACCCAGTCCATTGTCATCCCTAATCGAAAATTTGAAGTTACCAGGACACTTAGGAAGGGCTGGATAGCTACTGGAGTTGATGCCATCATCGAAGCCACCCAAACTCAACAAAGTCTAGCTTGATTTTTCCTCTCGAGCATTATGGTGATTTTTCCAAAATCTTTTGAAGCTATGTGGAATGTTTTTTCAATTTTTTGACGATATTTTTATTTTTAGATCATATTTTGAGATCTGCAATTTGACAAAAGTTACAGTCATTTTTCTTGCTCCCAACACAACCAGAAGGGTGCATCTACGCCATACAGGACCTTTAGTTGAGTTTTTTGAGATGCCCAAAGTTTTTTGATGGTTTTGAACTTTAAAGGTTGTCGGCTTGCCTAGTTTTACTCCAAGGGGCTTCAATTGGTATTGTTCCTCTAAACTAGTTGCTTCCTTGGTGCTCTAAAGGATTTGACAAGTTTGTGGCCTTTGTTTTCCAGTTGTTTGATGCCTTTGGTGCTAGGGTTAGACCAAAATATTGTTATTAAGTGATTGGGTTAGTGATTGTGTTTTTGAGTAAACCTTTTTTGTTAAGGAAATATGTTAGGAGTCATTAGTATTGAGAAAAGTGGGTTGAACAGTGTAAGGACTCTTGGATATAATCCTTCACTCCAAATCAGTCCAGTGAAATTGGACAGAAACAACTACTTGGCCAGGTCATGATCATAGTTGTTATAGTGCATGCAAATGGGTTAAATAGATATTTGACAGGAACAAGCAAGAAATTCAAATCTGAACCTGATCTTAGTCAATGGATATCAAAAAACTCATTGGTGATGATATGGTTATTTAACCGATACGTATCGTACGATACATCACGATTCACCTAAAAAACGATAGGTATTGTGTTTCTGTATCGTTTTTGCACCGTAATGTACAATACACAATACGATATGATATGCCCTTATGATACGTCATGATATACCTGAAAAATGATATGTATTGTGTTTCTATATTATTTTTGTACCGCATCGTATGATACATTATACGATACGTACGATACAACACAATACGCCCAATACATATGATACGTGATGATTCTATTTTTTTAATTTTTTTTTATTTTTTAGAGTTGAAATAACATCATTTTACCCTAGAATTTATTTTTAAATTACTAGCTAGTAAAACAACGTTATTTCAATGGTTATAGTTTAAAATAAATAGATAAAGTCTATTGTTAATATTGTTCAATTAAATTTAAAATTCCTGATTAATATTAAAGTTGTTCAAGCAATTGATGTTAGAAATTTGAATTAGAGGTCTTTGTAATTTGATATTATTGAACTATATTGGAAACTTGAATAGTTGGTGAAATATTAATAAAATGTTATGTTATTATGAGTCTATGACTTTTTTACAAATGTATATACATATATTTTATTAATAATTATTTAAAAATAAAATTGTGTGTATCTTACGATACACGATACGACACACTATTTTTAAAAAATAATACGTTTTTCTATAAACGATTTGACAACTATAGTAATAATTTGGGCAGGTGCTGGATTATTACTAGGATTTTTAAACAAATTATGTTGGAGATATTGTTAGAGAGAGAAAGAGTGAGCGTATGATTTTCTTACAAGTCTCAATATGGAATATGATCAATTCGTATACAAGTTTTGGAAAAAGATGCGTGTAACAAGAAAAGAGTAGGAGTGACACGCTTCATCACCAAGCCCATGATCGATCTACCCTACTAGCTATTCTACGAAAAAAAACAGATCTTTTCAACCTCATGGTGATGGTAAAAATGGGAGTTTTGATAAAGATCTCTTAAAATGTGATTAATGTGGAACGATGAGGCACAAGGGTAGAGTCGCTCGGGCCTTTGTGGGCGCAATTGCCCTTAATTTCGTTTTGGAACAAAAATTTTCATATAGATTTCTGTATAATATAGATTTGCCCCTATAAAAAAAACTCATTCATTTAATCTATTTCATAATTTCTCACATTTAGAATAAATTTCTTTAGTCTCAATCAAGTGAACTTAAATAATATTTAGTTATTTCAACTCCTCAACATGTATTTAAGAATTATTATGAGTCTCATGGTTCTCTATCTAGTCTCTTTGCTAATTAAGTACATTAAATCTCTAAACCATATCTCTGAATTAAGTACATATAGTAATTTTGTTGCTAATATTTGCCCCCACTACGACAAATGTCTAGCTTCGTTCTTGACGAGGCACACTAAAAATCATTGTTAGAAGCTGCACAATCGTCCTTCTGGGGGACATGATAATAATAAGGCTAGTTCTGTACACTCACATACCCATATGACTAAGATTGTTAATCCTCCCTCCTTGAGGGGTCCGATGACCTGACTAGATACCTATTCTGCATCTGCTTCAACTTATGTTGTTTCCAACTTTGTTCACACAGGTGTATCTGCTAGTGCTTTTACTGCATCTTGTTCTCCTACTCTTTGGATTATCGATTCTGGAGCCACTAACAATATAACAGGTTCATAGTATCTTTTCTCTTCTTATTCCACATATTGTGATAGAGATAAAGTTAGGTTAGCAGACGGTTCATTGTCATTTGTATCTAGTAAACATTTCATCAATTGTTCTCCTTCTATGTCTTTATCTTCAGTTATTCATGTCCCTAACTTTTTAACTA